TTTTAATTTTTCAAGATTTTCAATGGGCTGGTAAATCAATACCAATGCTTGTTAAGGTTTGTAACTTTGCACATATATATTTGAAGATTTAAAAAAGAAGAAAAATAATTTACAAAAATTTTTTGTTATTGCTTTGTTGTTGTTTTTTGTAATTAAAGAAAAGTGCTTATTTTTGATGGCGGGCATGATAACTCCTCACTGGATCATCGGAATCCCAAAATTCCAACGGTGTTAGAAAGAGTACATGTCTGGCTCTCGTATGAACTAGGATTATTGACTTCGCTCTAAAATTAACAAAATGGCGGACCTTCGAAAACATATTTTTGAAAAATCGCCGAATTTTGACCAAAAACTAAGTTAAACCAGTAAGGAAAGTAGTAAAGTCGGAGTGAGACGATTTGAACCGATTTTCACAATACTTAGCACACGTCATTCTAGACTTAATTCAATACGCTATGCCAAAATTCGTGCAACTCGAAAGATTTTCTGGGACTTTGGTGCACCATTTACCAAAAATCGGGCGAAATTTTATATGGAAGCTATATCTAGATCTGAACCGATTTTCACGAAACTTGGCACACATCTTTCGAGGCTCAATTCAGTACGCTATGCCAAAATTCGTGCAAATCGGGAGCTATATCTAAATCTGAACCGATTTTTCCCAATTTCAATAGGGTTCGTCCTTGGGCCAAATAAATGAGCTGTACCAAATTTCAGCAAAATCGGATTATAAATGCGACCTGTACTTTGTTTACAATTTAACATCAACAGACGGACGGACAGACGTGCATAAATCGACTCAGAAAGTGATTCTATGCATATTCTCAAAAGGAACCATGGGTCTATCTCGATTCCTTTTGCCTGTTACAAACATATGCACAAAGAGATAATACCATGTACCCCAGTGTGGTGAAGGGTATAAAAATATGCAAGATCTTCGCCGATTGGCTTTATCCTAGTTCATACGATAGCTATACACTCACAGAGAAACGTGTAAAAATTTGAAATCGATTGGGTTGTTAGTTTTTGAGTTACCGTGCCCGCCATTCGCAAAAGAGAAAAACGCGTTTGGAGTTTGAGAAGCCCTTTAGCCGTCACTTGATGCTGACACAATAAATCGGCTATATCTCGAATCGAATTAAATCAAAAAAAAAAAAAAAAAAAAAACAAAAATGGACCCCGAGAATGGGGGGTACCCTTGATTTCATTGGGGGAGATTTAGAGTCGTCTGCGTACAATGCGACAAATTTCAATCAGCACCCGTTCGAAATACATATGGAAGCTATGGCTGCATTTGTACCAATTTCAACGCAATAACGTCATTCAAGTCTTAATTTGAAATATTATGCGTTTTAATCGGACAAAAATTAGGAGTTTGGTGCACCATTTATGTAAAATCGGACGAATACATATGCATATGCGGGAACTATATCTAAATCAGAACCGATCTCCCCGAAACTTACCACTCATCATTTTAGACTCTATTCAGTACGCTATGCCAAATTTAGTGCAAATTGAAGGATATTTAGGGACATTGGTGCAACATTTATATTAAATCGGACGAACATATATATCGGAGCTATATCTAAATTTGAACCGATTTTCAGGAAATTTAACACACATCATTCTAGACCTAATTCAGTACGCTGTGCCAAATTTCGTCCAAATCGAAAGATATTTACGGACTTTGATGCACCAATTACCTTAAATCGGACGAACATATATATGGGAGATATATCTAAATCTGAACCGATTTTCTCGAAACTTAGTACACGTCATTCTAGGCTTAATTCAGTTCGCTATCCCAAATTGCGTGCAAATCGAAAGATATTTAGGGACTTTGGTGGACCATTTACATTAAATCGGACAAAAATATATATGGGAGCTATATATATATATGTATATATATCTGAACCGATTTTCAGGAAACGTAACACACATCATTCTAGACCTAAGTCGTTACGCTGTGCCGCATTTCGTGCAAATTGAAAGACATATAGGGACTTTGGTGCACCATTTACATTAAATCGGACGAAAATATTTAAAACCAGTAAGGAAAGTAGTAAAGTCGGACGGGGCCGACTATATGATACCCTTCACCACTATGGGTATATTAAACAGGACTATTAGCATGAAATTGGATGAAATAAAATATGTGATATTTATCTAAATGTGAATCTACGTAGATCTATCCATAAAGTATGTAAATCGACTTCAAACAAATATAAATGGGTCATCCGTTGGGCTATGTCTGTACTTCTAGAAAACGCAACTACATAATTCTATGCTCAATTTTGTACGTTGTGCAAAATTTGATGTCAAACTGACTAACATGGGAAGTTTGATGCCCAATTTACTTGAAATCGGGCGAAAATATATATGGAAGCTCTATCCAAATATTAAGCGATTTCAAACAAACTTGTCACATGATAGGTTATACTAATTTCAGAACGTTTTGTTCCTATTGGTTCCTTGTTGTGTCAATTACTTAAAATCAATCTATAATAAAAGGGAGCTATATCTAAATCTGGACCGATTTTCACGAAACAACGCAATTCAGTACGTTATGCCAAATTTTGTGCAAAACGAAAGATATATAGGGACTATGGTGCACCATTTACATGGAATCTGACGAAACTATATGTGGGACCTATATAGAAATCTGGACTGATTTTCTCGAAACTTGGCAGACATCACTCTAGGCTCAATTCAGTACGTTATGCCAACTTTCGTGCAAATCGAAGGATATATAGGGACTTTGGTGCACCATTTACATGAAATCGGACGAAACTATATATGGGAGGTATATGTAAATCTTGACCTATTTTCACGAAACTTGGCAAACATCATTCTAGACTCAATTCAGTACGTTATGCCAAATTTCGTGCAAATCGCAAGATATATGTGGTGCACCATTTACATGAAATCGAAGGAACTATATATGGGACCTATATCTAAATCTGTACCGATTTTCACGAAACTTGCCAGACATCATTTTAGACCCAATTCAGTACGTTATGCCAAATTTCGTGCAAATCGAAAGGTATATAGGGACTTTGGGGCACCATTTACATGAAATCGGACGAAACTATATATGGGAGCTATATCTAAATCTGGGCCGATTTTCACGAAACTTGGCAGACATCATTCTAGGCTCAATTCAGTACGTTATACCAAATTTCGTGCAAATCGAAAGATATATAGGGACTTTAGGGCACCATTTACATGAAATCGGACGAAACTATATATGGGAGTTATATCTAAATCTGGGCCGATTTTCACGAAACTTGGCAGACATCATTATAGGCCTAAATGATTAGCCTGTACCAAATTTCGTGCAAATCGAAAGATATATAGGGACCGTTTACATTAAATCGGTTAAATATATATATGGGAGCTATATCTAAATCTGAACCGATTTTTCCCAATTTCAATAGGGTTCGTCCTTGGGCCGAATAAGTGACCTGTGCCAAATTTCATCCAATTCGGATCATAAATGCGACCTGTACTTTGTTTACAATTTAACATGGACAGACTGACAGACAGACAGACGGACGGACGGACATGCAAAAATCGACTTAGAAAGTGATTCTATGCATATTCTCAAAAGGAACCATGGGTCTATCTCGATTATTTTTGCCTGTTACAAACATATGCACAAAGACATAATACCCTGTACCACAGTGTGGTGAAGGGTATAAAAAAATCCACACCTATGAAGTAGTTTGAAAAATATTTTTAAAAAATTTAGGATTTTAATAGTTCTTCAAAAAATATTTTTAAACTAGTCGGGGGCCGACCATATGATACCCTACAAAACTACAACGGAACTCTTACTTTCTGCGGATGTTTATTTCGAGCCAGGGCAATATTTCGTGATATTTGCACCCTCTTGATCGATTAGGAATCAACAGAACATCTTCCTTACACTGATATATTTTCCGAATATACCCAATATTCAGTACAGCCATTCTAATTACTTGCCAGGATTCCCTTTACCGTGGGTTATGTTGTGATGTTAGGCCTGTGGCCTACAGATCGACTCGAAAAAAACACTTTACCCCAATTTTTTTTATGAGATCATCACTTAAAATTATAGGCGTTGTTCTTGACCATAACCGGAACATCTTGGAAAATTTTAAAGCAGTCACCGCTATATTTCTGCCCTCCAATGTTTATTTTTCACAAAGAATGTACTGTATCTCCCGAATGCAAGGATGTTGCGATGCCAAATTATGTCCATATCTTATCTGGGATAGTTGCATTATATCTGTGAACAGAAAATTGTTCTATGATTACGGAAAAAATCGTGGCTCAAAGGGTTAAATCAATATTACAAAGCTATAAAAAAATCCACGTCTATTGAAGTCTAAGAAAAATATTTAAAAAAAACCCATGCCTATTGATTATTTTAACAAAACGAGCCACCATACGGCCCTTACAAAATATTCTTAAAATATCCACAACTCTATGGTCCTCAAAAATATTTTTAAACAAGTGAAAAAGTGTTAAGTTCGGCCGTGCCGAATTTAACCCTTTAGGCATAGCCCCTATGAGGCTATGCCTAAAGGGGGACCAATATTGATTACATAGTGTAGGAAATAGTGAATATTAGGGGATATCATTATATAAGGGCTATGCCTAATTAATGACCGGTATATGCCAATATTGAACCCAATATTTTAATTGTTTATCTCAATTCTTTCTTTAAGGAGGCATCATTATATTGAGGAGATGCCTAAATGAATATATATACCTTAAAGGTTCGGAAATGATTTTTTCGATGAGTTACAAACGGATATACAAAATTAATATACCCTCCATACTATGATGGAGGGTATAAAAATCCGTCAGTAGTTTTTTTCTTTAAAAAATATTTCTAAAAATTCCACATCAAATGGAGTAAAAAAATGTACACCAATATATAAATATATAGTTCTAAATGTAATATTTTTCCTTGTTTTTTTTTTATTTTACTTGATTTTTTATTCAATTTTATTTGGTTATTTGTTCTTTTCAGTTTCGTTTCGGGCATATCCCTATTGGGTACATCCACCGAAATCTATGTCTATGGTACACAATATGCCTTCATTCTTATTACACTGGCATTGTCGGGTGTCATATCATGGTATGTCTTCTTGCCAGTATTTTGTAATCTTCAATTGACATCCACCTATGAGGTAAGTCCAAATAAAACCTTTTAACGCAAATATCAGTAATTTGTTAACTAACAACCGAATTGGCTACTAAACTAATTGGCATTGTCGTAATTAACACCTCTCCCCTTTCTTATTTTTGTTATTAATAATTGCACGCATGCTCAGTTGCTTTGAATGTTTTTTTACTTATTTTAATTTTTATTTTTTTTTTATATTTTTGTTTATATAATATATTTTTGTTTATATAATATTATTTACAATCTGTTTATATGTATTTTTTTTCAATGGCTTATTATTGCAATGCTATAAATATGCTTCTTTTTTTAAGATAAATGTTTGATTATATTTCAAAATTATTAACACACTTAGGGTTAAGGAAAATTGTACGGCCCTATGGAGGTCCTTACAATTAAAAACAAAATTGGAATACTTTGATTTACTAAGCTTCTAATAATAATATCAAAATATTTCTAGACTTATGATTTTCTTTAAATGTGGAAATTCGTATAAGTTTTTATACCAGTCAAAATTTGATGGGAGTCTTTATTTGTGGGGAGTTTTATAGACGATCTGAAGAGAATCTTTAGAGACGAGCTGAAGGGAGTCTTTATAGATGACCTGAAGAGAGCCTTTTTATAGACGAGCTGGGAGTCCTTAGGACAAACCGAGGACCGGGTTGTTTTATATATTTGAGAATCAACTGGCGTTTAGAGATAAGTTGAATCTTGGGCTCAAATAGTTTCTATAGTCAAGCTTAGGGGCAGTAACGATTTATAAATAAAAATTTTTTATTTGCGAGGGAAGGCCAGAGAGACTTTATGGACTGAAAATAACCTGATTTATTGACAAGTTATAGCATCTAGTCATTATAAAAATTCCACATATTAAATGTTCCAGGCATATTGTCTCAATAATTAAAATTGACCCAATTTTTTGAAATGAATCATTAATTAAATTGAATTTTAATAAAGTGGCATGTAATATTCTATGTGTTCATTGCCCTATTAAAACCCCCGTCTGTTATCAGCTTCCGTCCCAGCACGAGTATTCAATTATGAAAAATCTTGACTATGAACTCTTAGGCAAATCAATTTTCTTATCTGCAGCTGTCATTAATACTACTCGTATTAAATATTCATTAATGATCGTGCTGTTAATGATCATTACCATTATCATTTTGAATGAGGAGTTCAAATAAGAAAATTTATTTTATTAATAAGTCAACGGGGTGACTAATTTTTATGAGATGATCTTTTACACTTTCCGATAAAATGGAGGTAATGGTCTGGGGGTGGAAAATCACTATTGGGAATGAAAGATATTATTGCTGCCGAACCTATTATATTTGAAGATATAGCTTCATACGATTTTAGGTGGGGTCCTCAATTACGAGAAATCAACATTTTAAAGTTTTAATGGTCTATTCTCAATTTTAACCGTTTATTGTCACTGAACCCCTATACGTATGTATTTCAATAAATTCAGTATACATTACTTATTATATAGAACTGTTGGTTTCGTCCGAAAAAAGAACTGGGTTTCTAATTTTCTGAACCGGATCTGAAACGCATTTGGTCCAAAAAACATGGGGTCTAAAAACAATAGAATATACCTCATAAGCCTACATAAGCCATAAGAATAGAAAAATGTTTAAAAAGTTTCGAAATTTGTATATCCTTCACAATGTGAAAAAATTACACCCCCATATTTTCGGTTAACTGGACATTTTAGCCAGATTTTACCAACGAAAGTTCCAGGGTTTTGGAAGGTGATAAACATAATTTTATATAGGTCCATAGTCCCATTTAATAAAAGGTTAAGCCTAATTTTTAATTTTTTGAAGGATATATCCACATTTTCCCAGCAACGTGGCTGGAAAAATACGGCTCATTCCTTGTTTTTGGAGAAACGTTTAAATTCCGGTCCATGTTCTGACATAATCCATTATATATAGGTTCTGCTCATTTTCGGTATTGACATTCAGGGTTATTGGAGGAAGCAAAACATATCTATAATATAGGTCCATATTTTCACATTTATAGGTATTTATGTGGTCTGAAATACATTTTACTATCGTAATGTAGAATTTTGTGTCCCTGGTGTGTGAAAAACAGCTTCATTGTAAATTTTAAATAAAGGTTCAGGTTTTGGGATAGCTCCCATTACAGCTTCCGATACCTTATGATGATAGAAGAAAATCCCTAGCAAGGTTTTGAATTATTAATTAAGGTCACTCCGTACCAGGTTTTTTTTTTTGGGAGACTATAACTATGTAAAAAAAAAAAACATTTTATCCAAACGAAGTTTTAACAATAGTTGTATATTTACACCCTTTATCACACTGTGGTACAGGGTATTATGCCTTTGTGCATATGTTTGTAACAGGCAAAAGGAAACGAGATAGACCCATGGTACCTCTTGAGAATATGCATAGAATCACTCTCTGAGTCGATTTATGCATGTCCATCCGTCCGTCTATCTGTGCGCCCACTTTAAATTGTAAACAAAGTGCAGGTCGCATTTATTATTGGTGAAAATCGGTTCAAATTTAGATATAGCTACCATATATATATTTTCGTCCTATTTTTAGTAAATGGTGCTCCAAAGGGTCAAATTTAGACCACACAATTTTGCACAAAGTACTGAAGTTAAGGTAGCATAACGTGTGCCAAGTATAATTGAACTCGGTTCAGGTTTAGATATAGCTTCCATATATATTTTCATCAGATTTTTAGCAAATGGTTTAAACAAGTTTAAAGAGTCAAATTTAGGCCGATTGGCACGAACTGAAGTTAGGATAGTCAAAAGTATTCCAAGTTCTATTGGAATCGGTTCACATTTACATATAGCTCCCGTAAATATATTACCAATTTAAATTTTACCAAAGTTTGTACACTGTAGTACCAATTCCAAAACTTCCTATATATCCCAATCCTACACTCCCACAGTTATCCTAAGACCAAGTTTTAAGATTTTAACTTTCGGTTGACCCACAATTCAAATTGTTCCAAATATAGTACACAGAAGTACGAATTTCCAAAATTTCCTACGTAACCCAAACTAACACCCCCACAGTGATCCTAAATCTCAGTTTCAGGATTCAAACTCGATCAGTTCACCCACAATTCAAATTGTCCAAAATTAATACACAGTAGTACAAATTTCCAAAACTTCCTACTTAACCCAAACCAACACCCCCACAGTGATCCTATATCTAAGTTTCAGGATTCAAACTCTATCAGTTCACCCACAAATCAAATTGTACCAAATGTACACTTAGTACAAATGTCTAAAACTTCCTACATACCCCAACCCTACACCCCCACAGTGATCCCCAAAACCAAAAACCCCACAGTGATCCTAAATCCAAATTTCAGGATTCCAGCTCTATCGCTTCACCCACAATTTAAATTGTACAAAATTTACACTTAGTACACATTTTTAAAACTTCCTACATACCCCAACTCTACACCCCCACAGTGATCCCAAATCCAAGTTTCAAGATTTTAACTTTATCGGTTCATTCACAATTCAAATTGTACCAAATTTAGTACACATTAGTAAAATTTTTTAAAACTTTTACATATCTCAATCTTTAACCTTAACAGTGATCCTGACTCACAATTTCATGATTCTAGCTCTATTGGTTCACCTAGAATTCAAATTCAGTGATCCCAAATCCAAGTTTCAGGATTTCAACTTTATCGGTTCATTCACAATTCAAATTGTACCAAATTTAGTACACATTAGTAAAATTTTTTAAAACTTTTACATATCTCAATCTTAAACCTTAACAGTGATCCTGACTCACAATTTCATGATTCTAGCTCTATTGGTTCAACTAAAATTCAAATTGTACCAGATTTAGTACCATTTAGTACCCATATGTATTAATTTGTTAAACTGTAAACGCACCCCAATCCCACACCCCTACAGTGATCCTAACTCCAAATTTTATTGTTCCCGCTCTATCGGTGTACCCAAATCCAAACTGTACCGATTATTGTACGATTTAGTACTTTTCGTACACATAAGTAGAAAATTTCCAGAACTACGTACATATCCTAATCCTACACTCTGAGGGTAATGTTACTTTCAATTTTCAGGATTCCAGCTCGATTTGTACCTCCAAATCAAATTTGTACCTTCAAATCAAATTTGTACCAAATATAGTACCATATAGTACTTTTTTGTACACATGAGTACACGCTTTACAAACTCTTCTCATATCGACCCTACTTCTCAACCTTAATTTGAATTCCAAATTTCAAGTTTTTAGCTCAATCCTTTCACACGGTACGAAATTGTACCAAATTGAGTAACTTTTGAGTACTTTTCGGATACTTATAGTTCGAATTTCCAAAAAAGATTCCAAGATTCTAGCTTCAGCCATTTCGACTGGGCGTTGATGAATCGTTAAATCAGTCAGTCACTTTACTCTTTTATTAGCATAGATTATAGGGTCGGAAGTGATTATTTCGTTGAGTTATAAACGAAAAAAATAACTTATAAACTAAATATACCCCCCATACTGTGGAGGAGGGTATAAAAAGGTACAAATGTATCCGGTTATTGATCGTAGGGTTAAGTCGGTTCACATATAGACACAGATCATATATTTAATTTAGCCCAGTTTCTCTTGAATATAGACAAAGCGGTAAAGGGTATCATTTAGTCGATCCCGTCCATCTTTACCACTTTCCTTAATGGTTTTCGATTAGGTTGGTTGAAATTCCGCCTAACACCGGGGCAACAAATGCTTGGTAATAATTTCTGCCAACATTATATGTGCAATGTATCCGCCCTCAAAGGATATGGACGTTGCTCTTCTAGTTCATTAAATTTTTATTTGTGTTTTCCCATGGTGGAGGTAATAACCAGTAAGGAAAGTAGTAAAGTTGGACGGGGCCGACTATATGATACCCTTCACCACTTTGGGTATATTCAACAGATGAATCCTAACAGATGTCGCATTTTTAAAGGACCAGCTAAATGAAATTGGATCCATAAACATGTCATTC